TAGTTGAAATCTTTACAAATATATGTTTTCTTAAATATAACAATAGTCTTCTTGTTAAATTTGATATAATAATTCATATACTAAGTTGATATAATATATTGACTATTTTGAATTATATGATAATAGATACATCTATTAAAACTACATAATCTCAATCGTTTGAATGACTTCTACCTGCGGGTTACTCATGAATAAAAATAAAAAATAACATATGGTTTAATGTTATATAGTTGTTATTGTTAAATAATTTTTTAAAATTTATTAGCTTAACGTTTTAACTTCTATCATTGTAATTATTTAAAATATCAAACATTGTTTTTTGTTTTTAAAGGTAACAATATAATCATTTATATATAGTTATTTTTAACTATTGTTATTGTAAGTTATTTTAAGCTATTTATTTGAAAAAAAAAATTAATGATTATAAAAATATCTTTAGCAAATATTTTAGTTAAATTGATATTAGGATTTAGTTTTTGCATTTAGCACTACAATTTATCACTTTTAACTATTCGCAAAATATTCTTTGAATTTTTTAAGTGGAACTAAAATTTATAAGTTGACCATGTAATTTTATATTTAAATTAACAATTTAGATATTTTATTCAAATTGTTCAAAAGTTATAGCTTTAATCTGATAACTGTTTAAATACAACAACATATTACATATAATAAATTTAGTATGACATATTAAAAGTTAAAGACATAACTCTATAAGCAGAAATAAAGATATTATTTTAATATTGAAAATTGGTTTATTTATGATTGCACTTTAGGTTTGATATTTATTTAACCTTATTAACCAACTTATGATCATTAATAGAAAAACACTACAATTTATCACTTTTAACTGTTTACAAAATATTTTTTGGGGTGCTTAAGTTGAACTAAAATTTATACATAAGTTGACTCTGTAATGTTATGTTTAAATTAACAATTTAAGTATTTTATCCAAACTGTTCAAAAATAATAGCTTTAAAATGATAATGGTTTACATACAACAAAATTTTAAAACTAATAAATTAAGTATAATATGTTAAAAGTTAAAGACATAACTTTATAAGTAAAAGTAAAAATATTATTTTAATATTGAAATTTAGTTTATATATGATTACACTTTAGGTTAGATATTTATTTAACCTTACTAACCAACTTATAATCATTATTAGAAAGAAATTGAAAAGTAATGAGAGTTTCAAATAAATGTGGTGAAAGGAAAAATGTTTCATTTATAAGTATACTAGATGAATTTCTGCGCGTTGCGCGGCGCAGGTTAATAATATATTGTTAGAATATTGAAAAATATATATTTATAATGGTTATGTTATTAACATTAACTGACATAATATTTTTACACTAACATATATATATATATATATATATATATATATATATATATATATATATATATAATCTCAACTATTTTGAACAATAATATTCATTGACATCAACCCACCTTCCTCATTAATAGATTTAAATATATTTATCTATTTAGTATTATTTTTAACAATTGTTATGATTGATTAATTTATATTTTTACTTATGCAATTATTTTCTAATTTTATTAATAATGTTCATTTAAAATATAATTATTTTTAGCTAACGTTATGTAATTTATAATTTGATGTAATTATCATTTAAAACTATTGTTCATTAATTTTAAACCACTTATTATTATTAATAAGTTAAAAAAGACTTTTAAGAAACACTTAATATTATTATTAAAATATGAAACATATACTAAATAATAAAGTGATAAGATTGACAATTTACATTTTAAAAGAGACTTGCATGGATAATATGATATATCCATGATTTTTATAATTTGATTTTATTATTTACAACTATTATTCGTTAAATTTAAAACCACTTATTATTATTAACAAGTGAAAGAAAACTTTTAAAAAACACTTATTATTATACTTAAAATGTTAAACATATACTAAAATATAATGTGATAAGATAAACAATTTGCATTTTAAAAGAGACTTACATGGATAATATGGATAACATGACATATCCATGATTTTTAATTAATTATTGCTTTGAAGCAACACAAACATACATAAATATATATAATATTTAATTAAATATTATCTATATCACATTCCATAACATATGATCGATAACATGACACTAATCTAATTTACATTATAAGAATACTTAAACCAAGAAAAATAAAGAATTAGTATATAACAAACTTACAAATTAAAAACTTTAACATAATAACATGGCTCGAAAGATGGTCCAAAGCCCTCAAACCAACACAAAAACGTTTAAACTTATTTTTTTTGTGAATTTTGTATGTGATTGGTATTTCTGTGTCTACTCAAAGAGATTGGCCTTTTATAGTAGACTATATATTAACTATAAAATAATAATTATTACATTTAGTTTATATAAAATTATAATTAATTTGAACTGTAGATAAATTAACGCTTATTAAAATCAAATCATTTAATGGTCTCTACTCATGTTTTATGTGTGTATAATATTAGTTGTGTTTGTCAACTATTTTAATTTACTACTATTATGATTTATTAATTTAAAAAAAATTGACGACATTTTCATTTCATCATGATGACTATTTAAATTATCAACAACTGTTTGTAATCTATCATAGTTTAATTTCTAAGTTTCTATTATTTTTAACTATTATTATTATAAATTAATTTAAAAACATTTGAATCGAATTTTAGTTATTTTAAAATATAGTTTTCAGACACCTGTTAGTGAATTCGATTCATAGATTTAGGTTCTTTTATATGAATTATATTTAATGTTTTCCTTTTAACTATGTTAAAAAACTATATATTGAATTTTTTTTTAAATATTATTTGATATTTTACTTTAAGTTTTAAATTTTACACTAAATTTTTAAGCTTATTTGATATATTAATGTAGATTATTTATTTAACAATATATTGAAGTTAACAAATTAGATATATCATATAGATAAGTCATGAAGTCTTCCATTTATGATAATGTTTACAACTAAAAACATATTTAAGTTAATAAATTAAGTATATTATATAGTTGAAATCTTTACAAATATATGTTTTTTTTAATATAACAATAACCTTGTTGTTAAATTTAATATAATAATTCGTATACTAAATTGATATAATATATTGATTATTTTGAATAATATGATAATATATACATTTATTATAACTGGATAATCTACATCGTTTGAATGACTTCTATCTACGAGTTACTAATGAATAAAATTAAATATAATATATGGTTTAATGTTATTTATAGTTGTTGTTATTGTTAATTTTAAAATTTATTTGTTTAACGTTTTAATTTCTATCATTATAATTATTTAAAACATCAAACATTATTTTTTTTATTTAAAGGTAACAATATAATCATTTATATAAAATTATTTTTAACTATTGTTATTATAAGTTATTGTAAGCTGCTTATTTGAAAACTTTTAACGATTATAAAAATATCTTTAGAAAATATTTTAGTTAAATTGAGATTACAATTTAGCTTTTGCATTTAGCACTACAATTTATCACTTTTTAACTAATCACAAAATATTTAGTGGGTTTTTTAAGTGGAACTGAAATTTATATTTAAGTTAGTACTGTAATGTTATATTTAAATTAACAATTTAAGTATTTTGTCCAAACTGTTCAAAAGTTGTAGCTTTAAACTGATAATGATTTACATACAACAACATATTAAATTTAATAAATTAAGTATAATATGTTAAAAGTTAAAGTCATAACTTTATAAGTAGAAATAAAAATATTATTTTAATATTAAAATTTAGTTTATTTATGGTTACACTTTAGGTTTGATATTTATTTAACCTTATTAACCAAATTATAATCATTATTAGAAAGACACTATAATTTATCACTTTTAACTATTTACAAAATATTATTTGGGTTGCTTAAGTTAAACTAAAATTTATATTTAAGTTGACCCTGTAATATTATATTTAAATTAATAATTTAAGTATTTTATAAAAATTGCTCAAATGTTATAGCTTTAAAATGATAATGGTTTACATCCAACAATATATTAAAATTAATAAATTAATTAAGTATAATATGTTAAAAGTTAAAAAACATAACTTTATATGTAGAAGTAAATATATTTTTTAATATTCAAATTTAGTTTATATATGATTACACTTTAGTTTTGATATTTATTTAACCTTATTAACCAAATTAGAATCATTATTAGAAAGAAAATGAAAAATCATTGGAGTTTCAAATGAATGTGGTGAAATGAAAAATAATTTCTTTATAATATAGTATGATATAGATAGATATAGATATAGATGACTAATATACGCAACTTAAAATAAACATAACTTTTGATCCGTATAGACTTTGTAGGCCCGCGATACATCGTCAAAACAACGCTCTCGTCTGACAAAACAAAACAGATGAAGCTGGTTCTCCTATCTGTAGTCTGTCGAGTTCCTCCGTTTTAGACCTCAAGTTTAGCTTATTTCCTTATTTTGTTTTATAATGTTTTTTAATAAATATTTGATTTCCTTAATTTCTGTATTTTTCACTAGTTTATTTTCGAGGTTAATTAGGCAAAATGGATGTTGATTTTAATGTTTAGAAATTTAGCAATATCAGCCAAAATGAGGATAGAGTTCTATGTACGCTTTTATATATGCATTTTAAAAGTTATCAATACGTTCCCTTTTGAGTTTTCTAGAACAATTTTGGTGTTGTCTCTGATTACCACTATGATTGTCAACCTCTTGATTTTAAAGGGTCATTACGACCATCAACATTCAGGGCGTGTAGTTTTTCAACATATACAATTAAATTATCGACTACACACCATAAATCCTCAACCGTGGGACCCCCATGATTAGAGTTATAATCATGTAACTATAATACTTTTACAGGTTTGACTAGTCCATACTTATGAGAAAAACTATGTTCTTATGACAAGCAACATAAGTTCATTTATGCTAAAGAAAACAAGCCAGAATAGTGATTTATAGGCTCAAATTAAACCTTTGTATAAGAGAAACTCTTGTATGTTTAAAATTCTTATTACCAAAAAAAACAACAAGCCAAAATACGGATTTTTACATGTAAGTGAACATGTTTAAAACTCTTTGCAGGGACTCTGTTTTTTTTTCTAACCCTAGCCATCATCAGCTTAATCATCCTTGGGAATATCTTTCTTTGGCAGCTCCTTTGGTTTTGCTTTCTCTATTTCCCTATAAAACCAAAACAAATTTCCCCCAACTCAGTGGCTAAATGCAAGAAATAGCAATGTACTTTCAATTTGTTTTCTTACTAGAACATTGTACTTTGAAAAATCCAGCCCATTAGGCAATATACCTTAAAGAACAGCTCATTACTTGAACCTCATAAGGCATGTAACTAAATACATTTACTTGTGATTTAAACAACTTGCTAATGAAATTATCAAAATTAACATATTCCGGGGTTGATTTAAACAAGTATAGACTTCATTTCTACCCTACCTCAAACTAGTCAGTAATAAACTGTCTTCTTGTTGTATGATTGCATAAGCTAGCTGTAGACAGTCTTGACATAACACATTTTTAGGTTATGAATTAGGAACATTTTGAATTAATGAGGAATTGTTCAATCATGCTTTCTGGAAGCACCCAAGTATACATATCCTGAAGAGTGTTAGATAAAATTCATGATATCAATGTCTAGGATCCATTCAAATTCAAATAGCGAAGCTGAAGTTGTTAAATGATCCAAGGATTTTGTAAAACATGCAAGTGTTAAGTCAAACATAGATTGAACATCATTCTTGTTGGCTGTTGCAACAATTTGCATGCTCTTACTAGTTACCACTCTCTTCTTTCAAAAATTAGAGTGATGTCTCCATAATTTGTGAAGATTTCTGATAACTTGATAAGTATCACTATGAGTAGGAAGCTCGAGGACGCTGTCTATGACTATGACTCCTATTTTGGAACCCTAACTTTCTACAAAATGGACTCTAATCGAGAAATGAGTGGAGAATTACGTATGTTCTACAGCACATCAATAGTTTAGGTTTATACAGAAAGTATAACACATGAGTCAGTAAATCAAGGAACAATTTGTGAGTATTGAAAGAGTACTTAGCGGCGGATGCAGATTCTTCTTCGAGCCAGTGGCGAATCTGACGAACGTTGCGTTTGAAGATGGAAGCGGACTGTTTCACATCGCTCCTCATCAGTAGAACCACTGCGCTCACTCCCACCACGGTCAGTATGAAATTTGTTAACGCCATTCGTTCGATAGAATCCAATCTATGAAAAAAAAAAAGGGTTGTCGCAAAAGATGAACACCTAACCGAAATCTTCGTGTTCGGTAGGTAATCAGATTGAAAGATAGCGCACGGCGGAAACGGCAGGTGGTCGCCGGAGATTGATTTGGGGTAGGGGTTTGAATGTCGTCAATACGATTGTCACGACGGCGGTCAAGTCCTAGAGGATTCACAAAATACAAAAACGACAAGTGAATCCTTCAACTAAATTTTAATTTTGTTCACAAACTTTTTTACATATTTGATTTTTTCCATGAATTATTTAAAATTGTTTATATTTTATCCTTATCACCATACCGTCATCAGAATAAAATATGAACAATTTCAAATAATTTATGGTGAATTTAATACCGAAAAAAAATTAAATAATTAAACATGAAAAGATAATATGTAATTTTTTTTTTGGTATGATATTATTTAGTTATCATCATACAACGAATGAGAAGGCAAACAAGCAACAAGTTGCGCCACTAAGCCATTTTGTATGGTAAAACCAATTCTTTTGAAGACTACATCCATAAATCTAGGGGATATAACATGGCTATGCATGATCCGTTGTAGTCTACTAAGAAGCTCCACCGCATCCGGCGCAAGGAAACCAAACGTATCAAATGCAAATGGTATGAACGCGTGTTGATTTTCTATGCACGGTTTCTCATGTTTGGTGATCTTGCATATAGCAGCTTTTAATGCAGCATGTCCCGCCGTGAAACCCCCGGCCCTCAAACTTACGAGAGGGGATACCCCTGTAAGGTCCACACATGTGTGTTTCCCTCCAACCCATCCAAAAATCAAAACGTCAGCCGGTCTAAGGGTTAACCTTCCTTCTGTCGGGTCAGTCAGGAAATTCACAGGAGCCTCTTTCTTGGCGGAAACCCCGACAGGCTTACATATGTCGACCAAAACATCCCTAACCATATCGTGCCTGTATTTGAACCCCATGAGTTCTTTGCAATGAACTGCATGCTCCCCGAAAGAGTCCAAACATGCCTTGCGGCACACCAGACATATCCCATCGGCTGGGAATATTGGAATCATGAGTCGATATCTGAGAATGGTACGATACTCCACCGGAGACATATGTTGGCCAAGCTCATCTATAGGGATAGCTAGAAGAAAATATTGAGCATGTGGTGCACGTAAACACTGGAAAACTGCTTTATGCCGAGCCGTCATATTGAAATTCACTTCCATATCTCGGATAATTTTACTAAAAAGGGCACTCGCCAGTGTATTATGAGATTTAGGGGGGCGGTGTCCTTAGTAGTAAAACTGCTAAGGTCAATGTCCGGAAGCTTCTTACGAAGAGAATCTAAGGCACAAGCATAATCAAAATCCATACCATAAATATCGCTATCCCGTAAGATGTGGTCTTGCAATACCCAAGATTGGACCCTTGAGGCAACAAAAGCATATGAGGTAGCATCTACTGCTGAGTATAAACCCAAACCACCAAACTGAATGGGTAGGGAAGCAAGTCACCACTATAAGTCGCCAAAGAAGGGGCCACCACAAACCACAATGTCCTCAATCGCCCCGCGTAATCCATTATCGAAGAACAACGCCTCCTCCTCCATGTGAACGGGTTGGCACGTCCTCAGCCCAAAGAAAAGTTTAGCAATACCCATACAAGACCGAAGTAGAAGGAGCTCACTCTGCGAGTCAGACAATTGTGGAAGAAGACGCATCAAATTCACAGCGCCTTCAGCTCTCTTTATAGCTAAGTTGCTAATGAAACTAGCATCTCTGCTAACAGCTCCCCCGAGAAGTTTCACCCCCAATGACGGCCTACCGAAGCCAACCGGGAGTAGCCCCTCACGCAGCTTCCTTCCATCACACGAGGGACAAAAGAGCTCGGTTTTCTTGATATTCAACTGAAGGCCCAACTGTAGGCCAATAGCCTTAATGAATTAAATTGAAAGTTCATTACTGTTTCAAATTATTATCCATATAAAATTATTAACCCTATGCTTCTTAGTTATGTTTCATAAGCTAATCAATAAATATTATAAAGATCTTATATGAAACATCATACTTCTAATATCGTTACTTATTTACTTATATAGTCTCAATGATACTAGAATAAAATATTTCAAAACTAGGATATAACTTCCATATAACATTTAAATGTATTTTTTGAAAAATAATATATGTGGTAACTGACATGTTACTGGAAGTCTCTAACTACTTTTACTAAGATGATATGCAACATCGAAATTTTAAGAAACAATTACGAAGTTCCAACAATCAACCTTTTGGTCTCGATGTGTCATCGCTGGATATCTATAGCAAGACATATATGTACCTTCATCGATAATTTTTTTTCATAGTCAGTGCATAAGTATTTTGCGAAACCAGATTATTATGTTGGAAGTTTGCAAAATAATTGTATCCGAAACATATATTTCAAATTATATTATTTACTTAAAAACCATTTATTATTATACAAGAGTGCACCTCTTATTTTGGTATTTGTTTTATGTGACAATTATTTGAAAACGTAATGCACATTCAATTTTGTTCATTTTTAGTCATTGATTTTTTTTTATGTTTGATTTACTAATGAATTATTTGAAATTGTTCATATTTTACCATTTATGATCGGTTGTAGACTAAGAGTAAATATGAACAATTTTAAATTATTAATAGGTAAATCAAGTACGAAAAAAATTAATAATTAAATATAAATAAAATTAAAAGTTCGTTACATTTTCAAATCATTATCTATAGAAATATTTAAGACGTTTTCATAATAATGTAAATCCTTTATCAATTTATTTATAGATTTCATGATACAATTTATATCTTTTCATTGTTTATAATTTCAAAATAACTAAAACACAAAAATAATGATTCAAAAAGCTTTTTAACGAACGATTTGTAAATTCATAAATGCTGTTGAAGAAGTTATAATCGGAAAGAATCATAGACTGAAAATTTGGTTGAAATTTTTTAACAATCAAATATAGTTGCACAAAGTATATATAAAATAAAATTTTAAAGGGAAAATTTTAAAAATAACTAACTGGGTACCCCGCACCGCGGGGTTTGGTTTTTATCAGGGTTTTATTTTTTTCTTTTTCAGTATGTATTAGGGTTTGGTTTTTATCAGGGTTTTATTTTTTTCTTTTTCAGTATGTATTAGGAAGTAATGTTTGTATTTTAATGGATACTTTATTTTTGTAACATGTATATATGTATGGTAAATTTACTGGATTAACATCAATCATCTTAAAATGACTCCGCTCAAGGTTTGTAAAGATTTCCACGATTTTAAAATGACTCTGCTCAGGGTTTGTAAAAGTTACACGATTAACATCAATCATCTTCAAATTCCAAAGGATGGTAGCTGAAGGATGTTAGCGGAGATTAAAGTTGAGGAAAACATGAGTAAATCAAAGTGCGTTTTACCTCAAGATAGTAAAAAGCACAAGAAACTTATCAGATTTGTAAAAACATTGGGGAAAACAAAACCTTAGC